GTACAGCAGTTTGGAGACCCTTGTAATGGAGTAAAGGAAGTAAGAAATGTATCGTGGAAATTTGAAATCAGTAAGATACTATGAAAGTGGAAGGTCATTAAGGTCCTAGTCACAACTTAATTTCAGTTTTACAGGTTTTGGGCATCTAGTAGAGACTTCAATACTTAATACACTGGACTGAGCTAGCCTCATTAAGTCATGCCATTACTTGACACCCAGGTGCTCAGTCACCATTTCCATAGTCCTTAGGTGATCGTTTCTCATACCTCCTGACCATCAAAAATACGACAGTAGCCAGCACAATCCTATCTGTATTTCCAATAACAGTATCTCTATTTCATCTCCATCCATCAACTGGTGAAAGTTTCAAGTTATACCAGCCCAGGTTGCCAGGAGCCATGCTTACCCATATTCTACTACCACTAGCAATGAAGCTTTTATTCCAGCCAGCAAGCGAGTAATCCACTTCCAAAATTCCATTTTAGAGACTGTTTCCTTAAAACATCCCTGGTCTAGGGGGCACCTGGGTGGCTTAGTGGGTTAAAGCCTCTGCCTTGGCTCATGATCCCAGGGTCCTAGGATCGAGCCCTGCCTCGAGCCCTCTACTCAGCAGGGAGCTTGCTTCCCTTCCTCTCTCTCTGCCTGCCAATCTGCCTACTTGCAATCTGTCAAAAAAAATAAATTAAATTTAAAAAAATAAAAAAATAAAACATCCCTGGTTCAAACGGTCTTAGACTGGGTTCCTCAGAAATGAACTGAGATCGGGATCTGCATGCAGAAAGTTCACTAGGGAATCCTCTTGAGAGATATACCCATGAGGGAGTAAGAAAGACAGGACCAGGCGGAGGGACAGGTGGACCAATGACGCCTTTGCAATTGAGGACTCAGTCTATTTTATGGGGAACTCTGGGGATGGGATGGCTCTTCAGAATTGTAAGGGGGCCAGGGTTTTTATCCCTACATTAGCCAGTCAAAGGCTGCACTGCAGGCCACCCCTTGCAGGCGATGGGAGGATATCTTTACTGTGAGGTGGTTCCCGAGAGTGAGCCCCAGTGAGAAATGCAGCTTTGAGCCATTAGCATCTGGTGGTCCCTGCAACTGGGGGATGATGGTGTTGACCCTGAAGAGGGGAACTTGTTGAACGACCTCAGTACCTATTATACTGTTCAGAATGACTTATCTTTGGCCAATGGGAGCTCTTCATGGAGGCTCACGTCTTTTGACATGACCCACTTGTTTTGCATAGCTTTCTTGCTTTCTGGTAAAATACATTCCAGGCTCATCTAATATTGCCTGAACTAGAACTGGAATGAGCCATTTCTCCAAGGAATTTTTTTTTTTTCTTTGACAGAGAGAGATCACAAGTAGGCAGATAGGCAGGCGGAGAGAGAGAGGAGGAAGCAGGCTCCCTGCCGAGCAGAGAGCCCAATGTGGGACTAGATCCCAGGACCCTGAGATCATGACCTGAGCCAAAGGCAGAGGCTTAACCCACTGAGCCACCCAGGTGCCCTCTCCAAGGAATTTTTTAAAGTGAGAAATGGTATTTAGAAACTACAAAATGAGTGTTTCGATTGCTTATTGATTCTAGACCTTTCAGTGGACAGAACAGAAATACAGATTTTTTGGGAAAAAAAACTCAAGTTCATAATACTACAATTTCAGATTTAACATTATAAGATTTTTACCTAATTTCCCTGATTTTACACTTTTATCCTTATTTCCTTACACTGAAAATCTTAGTTCGTAACAACATTAAATATTTTTATTTCTCTGTTCTAGTCCATTCTCTCTATATATGTAAAATTTCAAAAGAGTAATACTGATAGGATGTTCTCTCTAAATAGACTGGAATGTGTTCTAGAGTCATGTGGATTTTGTCAAAGCCCTTTGCTTGATCATTTTTTTTTTTAAGATTTTATTTATTTATTCCAGGGAGAGAGAGAAAAAGCACGAACGGGGAGAGGGGCAGAGGATGAAGGAGTAGCAGGCTCCTTACTGAGCAGGGAGCTCGATGCAGAGCTCAATTCCAGGACCCTGGGATCATGACCGGAATCAAAAACCGGCACTTAATGGACTGAGCCACCCAGGTGCCCCTGCTTGATCTTTGTTCTATTCAACTTGTTTATGACTCGAGCAGGATACATTCTTGCCAAATTTACAGGTAACAGGTAGTTAAAACGATAGGAGAATGTATTGAATGACAGAATTGGGTCACAAATAATCTTGATTCCTTATAGTGATGGTCTAAATTTAACACAATGGAATAGGATAGGTAAAACTGAAGTATGCAATTGTTTTATACCCCATTTAATCCACAAAGCATTAGAAAAGACTTACAATAAGATGATAAATATAAACTTTTTATTATAAGAAAGGTTACCATTTTTTGAGGACTTACGATATGCCAGGCACTCTGCTAAATACGTCATACAGTTTTATAATTCAATCTGGACAAGAGCCTCATAAGACAATAGTAGTAGTAGTAGTAATATCATTTACAGAGAATTTTACAGAGTAATTGGTACTATTCTAGGCATTTTGTATTTAATTCCCATAACCCTCCAAAGCATTCCAGCTCTGGAAGTCTGATTCCAAGGCTATAGGTACACTTTTTACCCCCGTTTTTTACAGAGGAGATTTTGAAGATGAGAGAGACTGAGAAACTTCCCTAAATTCTGGTAAATGGAGGACTGGGATTCAATCCGATGACACTTGATTCTAAGCTGATTTTTTTTTTTTTTAATCAGTTCTGCTGTATTCCCTTTTCTCTGGACAAGATGTGTTCATGCGTTATTGCTTGTAATCTTGTTAACAACCCGGCAGGAGGGGGAGGGTGCGGCAGGAGAGGTGGTCACTCTTGTCCTTCCCATTTCACAGATCAGAAATGGAAAGTTCAGGAGGTAAGTAGGTTGCTCCAGGCTACACAGAAAGTGAGTCGTAAAGTTGCACTTCACACCCGGGTCTAACTCCAAAGCCCATTTTTTTTTTTTTTTTAAGATTTTTAAAATGTATTTGACAGAGACACAGTGAGACAGGGAACACCAGCAGGATAAGTGGGAGAGGGAGAAGCAGGCTTCCCGCTGAGCCAGAAGCCGCACTGGGGCTCGATCCCAAGACCTGGGACCATGCCCCCAAGCAAAAGGCAGACCCTTAACAACTGAGCCACCCAGGCACCCCCTAAAGCCCATATTCTTAAACCTTAAGATGCGCAGGAAGAGAAAAAGATAGAAAACCAATAGCATTAGTAAAAAAGACGACTCGCAAGTTGAGTGCGAGGAGGTGGTTGGACGCACTGCCAGCAAGGTGGGTGCCACCCGAGGCTGCGTTCTAGAAATACAGTATTTGCCACAAGGGAGGAGACAGTCCCACTCTGACCTGCCATGGCAGAGCATACCTGGGGCGCTGGGTGTCGTTCTGGGCTCCGCACTGTAAGTAAACCTTACCGACACACCTGAAACTCCTCCCCGGGTGAGCGTTGCGCATGGTGAAGCGGGAGGAACGCGTCTACGGGAAGAACTGTTAAAAGCGGAGGTTCGGCCTCCAAAGAGAAGACTCAGGAGAGGCTGACGCGCTGGTATTTGAAGTGTCTTCATGCAAGGGGGCCTTAGATGCAGTCTAGTCTACAGTCCCAGAGGGAAGAGCCAAGGCTTCCATTAGGAGGGATTGATGCCTCAGGGCGAGGAAACCCTGCTTGGGACTGGGAGCTTTTCAGAAATGAAATGGGCTTCCTTTTAAGGGGACGAATTCTTTCTCACTGATGAGGAGCCTGAGTGACCCCTTACGGTGGGTTTAAAGACTTAGATGCCAGGTGCAGTGGTTCTTAAATTTTAGTGGGTGTAAGAATCACCTGGAAGAGCTCGTGAACTACCAGTTCGCAGGCTTCACCGTTAGAAGCCTTGATTCAGTGGCTCTGGGATAAGGTCCACCAATCTTCATTTTTAACAAGCAGCCCAGTGGGTCCTAACGAGGTGGTCAGTGACCCACACTTTGAGAACCAATGAGAATAGATAAACTCCAAGTTCTCTTCTACTTATTTTGCAAATAAACATTCTAGCAAAAAATATGTGTAGTCAACACCGCGATTGTTCAAAGAAAGTTGCCATAAGTTTTATGCATGATCCAAGACAAAATTCTTTAATATGTTGACAGTTAACATTAGAGACAAAACTCCTGGAATATAGGCTATTAGGATATGGTGGGAGGAGAAGGCTTGATTGATTCTCAATCTACATCATAGGAGACAAGACTTTAATGGCAAAATAGAAGAGACAAATCCAAGTGGAAATTTTTTTTTTTTTTTTAGATTTTCAGATTTTAAAGGACTCACTCTACTTATACCAGGGAGCAATCTGATGGGGACCTGGACGAAGCTATTTAAGTACCCTAACAGACTACACCTGTGTAAGGTTAAACACCTGACAGGCTCCGGGACCCTGACTTATATAAACTTCAGCCTAAATCTAACAGGACACATGTAGGGGAGAGTGTCTTCCAACACTGGCTCATTTTCAGTTGGGGCTAAAGCACTTTTTCTGGCAAGTATAATGTATGTTTGATTAAGTTAAACTTTTACTTAAAGCATGTGACCTGAGAGTCCCATTTAGAACTACTGTATCCTGAAATGTTTTACTCTCTGTAAACATGTTTTTAAAAAGTAGTACTTGGTATACCTTACTGTCCCTTATCAGGACTTTTTTTTTTTTTTAACTTAAGTTGTATAATGTTTCATTTTTTGCTTACGTGTATTAAAGTTCTAAAGTCTTTTTTTCCTTGAAAACACTAAAAACTGACTAGTTGAGGAACTGGTGTTCCTGGCTGTTCTGTTAATTGTTAGTATTGATGTGCTTATTTTGCTCATGAAGGACTAGCAAACGATTTCTATTTTAAACATAAGGTCTATAAACTTCCAAATGGCAATTCCATGCTGATAACCAGTGTGACCCGGTCTCTGTTTCGTTATCCTCGCTTCCTTTTGATGGTTGCAGACCTCCTCCTTTCTCTTGAACCATGAGGGATGAAATTGCAACAGCTGTTTTCTTTGTCACAAGACTAGTGAAAAAACATGACAAGCTGAGTAAACAGCAAATAAGAGACTTCGCAGAAAAGCTGATGAGGATCTTGTTTGAAACCTACAGAAGTCACTGGCATTCTGACTTCCCTTCCAAAGGGCAAGCCTTCAGGTGAGAGCCGCTGTGGACGATGGCAAAGGGAAGTCCGTCACAAGCGAGTGATCACCATTGATAAGGATTCTGGTGGCAGAGTCTGAGCAACAGAAGTGTTATGGGCTCAGACTGACTTGAATGTGGGCTTGAAAGAAAGAGGTGCAGCGGCTGGCAGTTTGTCGTCGAAAACTATGTAGTTTAAATACAGTTGAAGACTTACAGGGCAAAACAAACCCCCTTATGTGAGGTGGATCACACAGTCTCTAACTTGTGCTCACCAGGAAAGATACACAGAGAACGTTCATCCCATTAATTGAGCGACTTAGTGATGTAACTCAGTCTGAGTAGCTGTGTCAAAAAATCGATGGTTCTACTCACCCAGCTGGAGAGGGTGGGGGTGGGGGTCTCAGGTTGCGGGGGAGCTGTGAGTACTGAAGCTGTTTGCCCATCACATGATTCTTCTATTAAGGCGCCTGTTGCCACATCTTTGTTTTGCTTTTTCTGCTTTTAAAAGGTGTATCAGGATAAATAATACTCAGAATAAAGATCCCATTCTAGAAAGAGCTTGTGCTGAAAGTAAAGTGGATTTTTCTCACCTGGGACTTCCAAAGGAGATGACCCTATGGGTGGATCCCTTTGAAGTGTGCTGTAGGTGAGTAATCTCCTGGGAGGGGTTGTGCCTGTGACCCCAGAAACCGTGGGTTGCATAGCCAGCTCTGTATACCTTCGTGAGAGATGACCCCTCACAGCCCTGCGGCAGCTGCCGAGGGCACTGGCTGGTTAAGGTTTCCGATGCAAACTTGATTCACACGAACTTCTACTAGGAGTGGATGGCCTAGAAGCACAAAGACTTGACCCAGCATTTGAAATCAGACTGGAACCCCTGCACTTCATTGCCAACCGTAGATTATAAAGACGAAGTATTATAGGCAGTATCAAGGGGGTGAGAAGTTGCAATGCCGTCCTTTAGCTGAAATGAAAGAAACTAGTTCTTGTCTTTTTCTGAAAAATTCACCAAGAGAACCCTTGCAGAATGACCCCCATTAATTATAACCCTGTGTGGGGCGCCTGGGTGGCCCAGTTGGCTAAGTGACTGCCTTTGGCTCAGGTCATGATCCCAGGTCCTGGGATCGAGCCCCGAATAGGGCTCCCTGCTCAGTGGGGAGCCTGCTTCTCCCCCTCCCTCTGCTGCTCTTCCTGCTTCTGTCTCTCGCTCTTTCAAATAAATAAATAAATAAATAAATAAATAAATAAATAAATAAATAAAATAAATCTTAAAAAAAAAATTTATAACCCTGTAGTAGCTGAAGGTCACAAGGTCTCTTACTTTGCTTTGCTGTCAAACCATTTCCATTTTTTTTTTGTTTTTTTTTTTAAATAACTTTTTGCAGATTAGTGAGTGGTCTATACAAGAGAGTAGAGATTAAAAAAAAAAAACAAAAAAACCTTGTGAAATTGTGAATCCCTAATGAATACTTCATTTTCTTTTCCTGCTTAGGTATGGTGAGAAAAATCATCCATTTACAATTGCTTCTTTTAAAGGCAGGTGGGAGGAATGGGAGCTTTCCCAACAGATCAGCTGCGCTGTTAACAGGGCCACTTTGGACTACAACTCCGGCCTTTCCTCGGATGAAGAGAGTTGTAACAAAAAACCGCAGATCATTCCTAAAGTGAGCAATCCAAAGAGCATTTACCAGGTAAAGTGAGTTTCAGTTCTTCTCTACGCTTTGTCTTTTTTTCTGTTCTAATTCTGAAAAGAATTTGTTCTCTGTAGAAGTGGAAAACAGAAAAAAACCCGTAAAGATTAAAAGTCACAACAGTAACATTCTGGAAAAATTTTTTCTTCTATATGTAGTTCCACTACTTGATTGAGTGCTCAGGAGCTACACGATCTCGTGTAATACTGTTTTTCCATGTAGTATATGGACACAAGTTTCCTTTAATCCAAATTCCTTCACGATTAAATCTGAAAATTAGTGGGCTTTCTCAGCAGCAGAAAATTACATACCATTTGTAGAAAACTTGAAATATTAAGAAATGGTCAAAGGTCTGTAATCCCACCACAAGAACAGTTTTTCTAAAAAAATATAAAATAAAATATGTGTTAACCACAACTCCTAGAAAGATCTGCATATTTGTGTGTGGGAAATATGTTTCATGAAACAATACTTATCCTTACTTGGCATAATGCCCTCCATATTTGCTATTCAATTAAATCGATTTCAACCACCTAAATGAATTTCGTGACCCAGAAATCGTGGCAACCCTCAATTTGAAAAACCGTGGTGATCTAGACAGACCCTCTATTGACATTGTATGTATATACTTGTTTGTATGTTTTCTGAAATTAACCCCTTATGCATGTTAAGACAATTTAAATACTTAACATTTTAATACTTATTTTTTCTCTTGTAATGTACTTAATCTACTATTGGCAGACGTCTAGATTATTTCTTTGTTGTTGTGATAACTTGTAGAGATGACAGAATTTTAATTTATTTCTGGAGACTTGATTCTCAGACATGGAATTACGGGGTGATAGGATATGGACCTTCCACTGTTCTGAATATGGCCAAAATACCCTCGAGGAGGTTTTGTTTACTTGTGCTCTGAGCAGCTCCTTGTGAAAGGGTTTGTTTTATCATTTTCCCTAAAATTGGTTTTTCTCATTTAAAAAGACATAATTTGCTAAAGACCCTATCAGTTGTAGACTATTAAGTATTAACTTAAAAAAAAAAACAATCCACGTGCCCAAATGTTTTGGGTACTTACTGTCTTATGAATTTGTTCTTCACCCATTTACCATTTAAGGCCTTAATATATTATTATAGGTTCTTCAAAGGTTAGAAATATTTTAACTCCTTTTCATATTATTGGCAAGTATTTTTTATGTAGTTTGCTTCCAAACTCTACGGTTCATTATATATTTCTGCACATATAAAAGTTAAAATCATGTAATGACATATATACCCTTAATTTTGTTCTTATGCTTGGAAAGATTTCCTTCCATCTAGGGATCAGATCTACAGCCAGCTATACACTTGGAGAACGTCTTTTCAGAGTGTGCTCTGCAAAACATCTGTATTGGTCATTTGGGATATTGAAAATGGATATTTCTAGACCTCAGCCCTAGAGGTTACGATTGGGCAGTTTTGGGTTAAGTCGGTGAGGGGACGGGTGGGGGTAGAAGAGATCCCAAGAATATACAGAAACTTGAAGATCTGTTTTTAAGTATTTTAGTGGGATTAAAGACTTAATTTTGTTAAAAGGTATGACATGACTTTATTACCACCCCTCATGCTAGACCATTTTCCAACGATCATCAGCAGCCTTGATTTCTATTCATTTGTACTCACTGTACTTTCTAAAGGCTCAGCTTCTGAGTTACAGGTTTGTGTTTAGTACTTCGGTCTAGCCTATTACTTCAGAGATGACCTTCATACCTTCTTTTTCACCTTTTTTTTTTTTTTTTCCAGGTTGAAAACTTGAAACAACCCTTTCAATCTTGGTTCCATGTCTCCCGCAAAAAGAATGTGGCGGATGGCCACCTGGGCCTCCTGGGGAACACTTATCCCGCATTGCATAAAAATCCCAAGAGACAGAGGCCCGCTGCTCTCCCCCGGGTGGACAGGTACCACTGGGTCAACATGAACCGATAATGTGGTGGCTGGGCACTCGGTGGGACAGAGCTCAGAGGAGCTGCTTTATTTTCTCTAAAACAAAAGGGCATCTGAGTTTGAGGCCCAAGAAACAGAAAAAGTAATCCCATCAGGGACAGGGTGCTGTACCTATGAATGATCTCACACAGATCATGGTTATGTTCTTAGCTGTACTTTTAATTCTTAATTCTATGTGAAGTTTTATGTAACACTAATGAATGTATTCAGTAAGGTAATAGAATGAAGATATTGACTTGTGATAAGATTCAATGAATTATGAAAAGGAACAGTTGAAATAAACGTACTATGTTTTTAATATCTTTCTAGTTCAGTGTTTTTGCAAGAAAGCTTTGAAAGCTTGTGTTTCTTCATAGCCATTAAAGCAGGCAGATCTTCACTTAGGAGAGTGTGATCCATATGATATGGTCTCCTGGCCACACTTGTTACCCATCATTGCTGCTCTATTTTACAAGGCCACTGGGAGCTTGTTTTAAAATTACTCTTTCAGATACAAAATTCCCTTGTTGGTATGTCTTTTAAAATTTTTGATCTATTTCTCTACCTCTTAATAGACTTAATTATGACTTGTTTTATAACTGTGACACCTGTTCATTATAAGGACTCAAGCTAATGGAGTTAAAATAAAAAACTTAATAAAAAAATTAAGCTAGGCAAAAAAGTATACCACCAAGAAAAAAAAAAAATCCCTACCATTCAGCCAGAAACTACCACTATTAAAGGGCATCTTGGCTCTTTCCACAGTTTGGCGATTGTGGCCATTGCTGCTGTGAACGTTGGGGTACAGGGGAGTGGGGTGGGGGGCTGGGTGAGCCTGGTGGTGGGTATTACGGAGGGTATGTATTGCATGGAGCCCTAGGTGTGGTGCATAAACAGTGAATCTTGGAACACTGAAAAAAAAAATTTAAAAATACCTTCATTCATTCATTACATATAATTGGCTGAGATTGAGATATTTTGATCCTTGTATTTAAATCCAATCCACTAGAATGGAATATCTGAGATCAAGGGCTGTTAAAGGTTTTGATTACTGCTGTGCACATGGTAGGCATTCAATAAATATTTGTTGAAAGAAAAAAAAAACCACCATTATGAACAATAAATGGTGACCATCTTTAGAGTCATGCTATATCTGTATACAGATGTAAGAACTGATACACAACTTAATAAGAAAAAACATATGATAGGAGCTATTTAGGAAGCAACTAAAATTAAAAATTAAAGTATCTTAGCAAAACAAAGATACCTAAAGGTGAAATATTCATAAACTTATCTACCACAAAGTATTTGATTCCCTGACTTTCCTGGAGTTAGATACCAGGAAGCTGGCAACTTTTACCTTTAAAACTTTGTTTTTGAATTTTGTACAGTAGTATTCATTGCTATGCAAGCTGCAGAAATAAGCGTTCTTAAGTTTTTTCCCCCAAGGACAGGTTAAGTGAGTATTAAAATCTTAGGTTGTGGTTTCTTTCTCTTACAATTTCACAGACCTCACATGAAACTTAATGTTTTTGGCACAATGCTGTGGAGAAACTGGAAACCAGTTTGATTTCCCCAAACCCCTGCCACTCATACCAACATGAGCTTTTACTTTCTTTTTTTTAAATATATATTTTTAAGATTTTATTTAAATATATATTTTTAAGATTTTATTTATTTGACAGACAGAAATCACAAGTAGGCAGGGAGGCAGGCAGAGAGAGAGATGGGGAAGCAGGCTCCCTGCTGAGCAGAGAGCCCGATGTGGGGCTCGATCCCAGGACCCTGAAATCATGACCCGAGCTGAAGGCAGAGACTTAACCCACTGAGCCACCCAGGTGCCCCAAGTTTTTACTTTCTTAGGTGACTTCCTTTGCTGGCCAGTCTGAAAACCTTTTCCTTCATACTGGAAGTCTATGTCCATATGTCAGTCATTCCACCACAGTTTTCCCCAAAAGACTGTGTTCCTTTCTGATGGGCAGATTTGATTTTTCTAGAACAATCTTCTACACTACTTTAATACTTTTATCTGTCCATCCATTTTAGGGATACCAACTCCCCTGATGCTGGATCATTTCTTTTTTTCTGTCATTACTGTTCATCTGATTGCTTTCATATCTTTCATTTTTTTAAACCATCATGGTCTTAAGTCTTCTGCCAGTTTCTCAGTCCTGTTTACTCTTTGTTTCTTACCTGTTTTTTAGTGCCATAATGGTGTTATATTGGATCAGCGGATTTCTGTAGGAGTTATTCCCATGTACAGAGTGACTAGAAAATGAAAACTGTATAAAATCATTACTATATGTGAAAACAAAATACTTAGATGTCACAGAAGAATGGTTTTCTAAGAACCTTTGCACAGAGGATTTTATTAACAATTGTCTCATGAAGTGTGTAAAGTTGTTTTTAAAAAAAAACAATCAACCAAACAAAAAAACTTCTGGCCAACAGAGAGGATAAATCTGTGGCCGGTATAATAATAATCCTGAGACCCACGCCATGATGGACATCACTAATGAATCACCATATTCTTATTTGGTTGCACGGATGACCTCAAAATTCTGTACACAGTACCAGCGATAGCCATTAAAATGAGTTATTCCAAGTTTGTACTCAAAAAGAAATCAATTCCACCATGATCAAGGACTGGCCCAGAGGGAGCCATCCATGAGCTCTAGAGGTCTGTGTCATTCTTTAAGGCTTCCCACGCACTCAGACAAGAGTATAGAGGAAAATTTAATGAACTATATATTTTTTTGCTGTGATTAAAAGTGATCAATACAGTTGAAAAACCCCTAAATAAATAAATACCGTGTCTACTAGAATATAAGTATAATAACCAACTTAGGTCTTCCTAATCTGCATTTTGAAATTTCCCATGAGTATGTACCACTTTTTTTCCTTTCTCAAAAAATCAAACTTTTTGAGAGAGCTATCGATTCACATGCTTTTAAGAGGTAGAGAGGCCCTGTGTGCCCTTTACCTTGTTTTTACCAATGGTAACATTTTGCAAAATGACACTATAATATTACAAGCAGATATTGACACGACACAGTTGGGATACAGAACATTTCCGTTGTTCCCTTTCATGGCCACACCCACTTCCCACCACTTCCAGCCCTTCCTCAATCCCCTGGCAACCACTGAACTATTTGCCCCCATTTCTGTAATTTTGCCATCTCCAGAACGTTATAAATGGAATCCTACTGAGGGCCACCTTTAGGGATTGGCTTTCTTCCCTAAAGCCTAGTTCTCCGGAGATTGGCCCTGACTGTTGCATGAAGCAGTAGTTTGTTCCTTATTACTGCTTAGTAGTAATCCGTGACAGGACATACCACAGTTTATTTAACCCTTTATGTGCTGAAGGAGGACAGCGGGGTTGTTTCTAGTTGGATTATGAATAAAACTGCTACAAACATTCACATACGTAATGTGTGAGCATAAATTTGTATTTCTCTGGGATAAATGCCTAAGAGAGTAATTGCTGGGTCGTATGGTAGTTGCATGTTTCGTTTTTTAAGAATCTGCCAAACTGTTTTACAGAGTGGCTGTACCGTTTTATATTATCACAAGCAATGCACAGGTGATCTCTTTCCCCATGTGTGTGCCAGATTTGGGGGTTCTGGATTTATCGTTTGTTTTTTCTCTCAGACGAGAAAAATGTATTGCCCCTTCTCCTAGTTTTTATGGTTTCTAATGAGAAATCTATTGTGATTCATTTTTTAACTCTATAGCTGTCTTTTTTTGTTGTTGTTGTTGTTGGCTGCTTACAAGTATTTTTCTCTTTGCTTTTAGTTTTTGGTGGTTTAATTATGATGTGTCTTGCTGTAGATTTTTTTTTCTTTTAAATTTATTTATCTTGCTTGGGATTCATTCAGCTCCTTGCATCTGTCAGTTTGCTTCTTTACAAATTTGGAGACTTTTCAGCCATTCCTTCTTGGACTACTTTTATAGCCTTCCTTCTTTGTCTTCTCCTGAGAGTTTGATGACTTGAATGCTGGGTCATTTGTTAGAGTGTCTTAGGCTCCTACGGCTCAACACATTCATTTCTCCCACCTTTTCCCACTCTGCTATTCAGGTTTGGTAAATCCTGTCGTTCTGTCTAAAAATCCTCTGACTCTCTCCATCTCTGGCCCTTCTATTTTACTGCTGAGCTCATCAAGTGAGCTTTTTATTTTGGCTTTTATATTTTTTCAGTTCTAAAATTTTCATTAGATTTTTTTGTCTTCTGTTTATTCTTGTGTGACTTTATAAGTTTTTTTTGCTGAGATTTCCCATTTTTTTCATTTATTTCAAGAATGTTCATAATTTTTGAAGCATTTTTGTGATGGCTTCTTTAAATTTTTCCTATAATTCTAATATCTTTGTCATCTTGGTATTGGCATCTGTTTATTGTCTTTTTTCACTCAGTTTTTTTTTTTATTCTGGTTCTTAAAATGAAAAATGATTTTTGCCTGAAACCTGTACATTTTGTGACACTCTAAGACTTGGGATCTTATTTAAATTTTGTTTTAGCTGATTTCCTTTGACACCATCCCAGTGGTGGTGGGGGAGAAAGTGGGGAGGGGCACTGCTTTGTTTCTGCCTGGTGGGACCTAAAAGTCCACATTCCCCATGTGCTCCCCACCGCTACCTAAGGAAGGGGTTGCTCGCACCTGCTGGGCGGGTGTGGGAGTTCAAGCCCTCACTGGCTTGCTGGAACACTTTGCTGAGGGTGGCCTCCTTACCGATGGGCTGTAGAAGTCCTGACTCTCCACTTGGCCTTCGCTGATACCACTCGAGCAGGGAGGTGGTAGTGAGGGGACCACTGTCTATTGGTAGATGTCCGGATTCCCCGTGTGGTCTTCCCTAACACTGTGGAAAGGAGGGGGATTGGTAACTGCCTTGCAGGGATGAAAAGAGGAAGATTCCCAGCTCTCTGCATGGACATATCTCCCTGCTGAGCACAGAGCCCTACGCTGGGCTCAATCTCACGACCCTGAGGTCATGACCTGGGCTGAAATCAAGAGGTGGTTGCTGAACCAACTGAGCCCCCAGGTACCCCTAAGCTGCCCTTCTCTCAGTCCTTTAGTTAGAGAG